AAGTATATTAAAAGAAACATTAAAAAGTATTTATTATTCAATATACTTTGAAGACCAAAAGAATAAAAAATAACATTGAATTTAGCTTCACTTGTTACTGGGGTTATCTTTCCCTGAACATTAGAAGATGTATTTTATGGTATTATTATAGTTTTTCTAGTTCTCTTTTCTACTGCTACTTTCTATAGTTGTCTGCAAAGTTTGGACAATAAGGCAGACCATAGATGATGCTTTTTTTCTTTCCAGCAGGAAAGACAATTGCTCAGTACGCCCATCAACACCGTCAGTGTGGATAGAGAATCCGTTCCACAAAGATTTTGTGTTCTCCCGATGGGGGGAGCCAAACCTGTTGGGAGCAGGGGCGGACTGACAACTCATGGGGCCCCAGGGCAATAGGGGATCATGGGGCTCCTGTGTCTTTGCCCAAACTCCAAAAAGCCTATGAAAAAGGTACCAGGGGCATCTCATGGGGCCCCCTACTGGTTTCCAAATGGTCAATCCGCTGCTGCTTGGGAGGACACAGTGATTATTGCCACCAGTGGGTATAGCTGCTAGCAATAATCATATGCTAGAAATCTGACATGCTGGCTGTACCCAAGTTGACTGATGGATCAACTTAGGTACAATCAACCTGCCCATACATGGATCAAATCTTGCTCGGTCCCTGCTGAACCAGCCAAGATTCGAAACATCTATTTCAGGCTTAACATTGCAGAATATAAATGCTAACTCTGCCCAGGAATTTTGTGTTGAAGGAACTTCTATGTTCAAAGTGTTGGCTCATTTTACTTCTTTTATTCAGTTCAGGTGTCTACATTGCTAAAAATGGCATACACTGAACAAATCAGGAATGTTTGGTAAAGCTGGTAATACTTAGCTGTTAATATATTTATCTCACAAATTGTGCAGCGTTTCCATAAATTTCTAATCAATGATCATGTATATAAATAAATAGTGAACAGCTCTGAGTAATGTGTACATGTGCTTAGTGATATTCAATTATCAAACCTATAAATGCAAATGGTGACCAAGGAGTCCATAAAAAGTCAGTATAAAAGTCCCATACACCATCCAATAATCGTGCAATCCTAAACGAATATGCAATTCTATTCCCAACCAATGCTCACCATAAACACATCACAGTGCCCTTCACCACATCTCATGGGTGTCCTCTCACCTTCACTGCAGGACCTCACTGTGCTATACGAGGTTAATTGTTCTTTATTAAGGGGCAATGCTTCTGCTTCTCCACGCACCCCGATCATCAAGTCCTCAGTTCCAAAGATGACATAAGGGAAGCATGAAGTATACCAGATAGTGTAGATCGCTAATCCAGTTTTATTATACAATTAAAATTGCACTCACATTTCAGAAGAAAACCCAAGGCATATCTCATAGCACAACTGAATGTGCCGTCCTAATTCCCCCAGCGTGATGACGTCACTGCCCGCCTAACGTGTTCCGCCAGATCGGCTTTCTCAAAGGCTCCTTTTTTCCTAACATAGTAAATTAGTGCAATGCTAACAAAAACAAATATAAAATGATGGTGTTCAGTTTTTTTTAGCAATAGTTTTATTGTTTTATTCTATTTTTTAATAAATTACAATGTAAACACGGCAAGTATTTTAAATACGCATTTGAGTACCCCTCCATCAAAAGATTACCTACATATAGCAAAAACAATATTTTAGGTTTTACGTTTGCAAAATATTAGCAACAGGAATGTTCTATGTAGCCCCCAAAAAACCCATCACGTTCAGATTTCAGCAATCATTTGGGTAGGTTAAAAATGAATAGGTTCCTAATACTATCACAGATAGCTCTGCTTCTTGCTCCTGGAATGAACATGTGTTACTGTATATCATATGCTAATTTAAAGCCCAACTGACTGTTCTTTTTAAATCAGCTAAATACATTTCCAGTGCAGTAAAGCAAAAGTTGTCCTAGTACTCCCAGAGTGTATTCTGCTGCATTAAACTGGGTTTAGGTGTCCGTTTATGACACAGAGGACTGCTGCGATTCAGAGGATCGCAGCTATTCTCTGATCATTCACAGTTTATGACACTCAGTAGATCAGCGGAGAACATGTTCATCCCTTCACTGGAGATCTGTGCTCTCCCTCCAGATTCTCTAGCCCGGAGCTGGAGAATCGGAGGGACCTCAAACTAAGCAGAGATAATTTACCTCTGTTTAGTAAACTGATCTTTTACTGTATTCTCGCGAGATTATAGTAAAAGCAGCCGTTTTCCAGCGTTTGTAGATCATTCTCCCTTTGTTTGAAGAACTGATCTACACTGCTTCATAAAAGGCATTCGCAGGAGAACTGTGTTCTCCAAGAATTCTGGAGAACTGAACAGCGATCATGTACCGCTGGTTCATAAACGGACACCTTAATTCTTCTGGGCTCTGTGATATACAACTGTGAAAACATTTTAGCTAGGTGTGAAAAATAGTGAAAATTAAGAATGCTTTCAGAAACAGAAGTGTTAATAATTTATTTTTTTATCAATTAACAAAATGGAAAATAAATGAACAGAAGACACATTCAAATTAAATCAATATTTGGTGTGAAAACTTTGCCTTCAGAACAGCATCAATTCTTCAATTCTTCTAAGGTACACTTACACACAGATTTTGAAAGAACTAGGCAGGTAGGTTGTTCCATACATCTTGGAGAACTAACCACAGATCTGAGGATGTAGGCTGTCTCTTCATGCAATAACAGACAGACTGGATGATGTTGAGATCAGGGCTCTGTAGGGGCCAAACCATTACCTCCAGGATTCTTCTTTACACTGAAGAAAATTCTTAATGACAGTGGCTGTATGTTTAGGGTCATTGCTGCTGCAACCAATCACAAGCCTGCCTGATGGTATAGCATGATGGATAAGTATATGCCTGTATATCTCAGCATTGAAGACATTGATCTTTACACTAAACCTGTCACACAGACTTTTTATTATCATATTATTATTCTAAAAAACAGTAAAAAGGAAATATTGTAATGAAAATAGCACCCTCCCTTGTTCCTACCTCAGAAAGCTGGGGTGTACCCTAGGATGGTTGTGATGGGCCAGCTTTAGGTTTCTCAGGCATCAATTTCGCTAGGATTTCCCTGAATAGGATTAATATTCAGAAGTCATTTGACAGGTGGCAAGGAGGTGTTACTCTATGCACCACAACCTTGTGGCACATCCATTCAGTCAAATGGGTTGTGCTTGGTGAGCAATATTACCTGCTAAGCACAACAGTGGACATATTTTTTTTGCTGCATTGCAGTGGTGGCATATCCCCAACCCCTACTCTGCTGCCCCTAGAGAGTTTTCAACAACATTGTTGTGTCTGGCACCTCCAGCCAGTTCTAGAAATGGATATTTACAGTAGAACAAACAGCTGAAATGGTGATGGTGGCTTGTCACAATCATGCCAGACTTCAAGATAGCTATAGAGATAGGTTTATCTAAACCCACACTAAAATTTCATATAACCTTTAACATGTTAATTTCAAAACGCTGTTTTTGTTCTTAATAAATCTGCAGCTTTTATTAAAATAATACAAATAAAGGTTCTTGTACAGGCACCTGTTAAAAAAGTGACAGCTGTCCCCCAGTTCTGTTCCTGTGTTGACACTCTTCCATATGCATCCCTAGTTGAGACAAGTGACCACATCCACACACATCATGCAGACAGAATCCACATTTATCAGGAAACCTGCCTTCATTGATGGTAACAAGTAGCAGGAGCAGCACTGAGATGCAAAATGATGAAAATAAAAACAAAAGGTTAGGACAACATTTTTGAAAAAAAAAAAAAAAGCTGAGTTCGGATTCAAACTTGGTTCGAAGCTGGAAGGGAAGCTGTCACATAATTGCATCCCAGCCAGCCCAGTGAGCTGCGGGCAAGAAGTCCCCCACATCTCAGCTACATGTAACAAAGGGGGTGTGCTTCTTTTAACATTATTGACTTAATAGGACAATGTCATATTAAGCCGTGTTAGTTCAGTGATGTCCCCAGCATTCCCTTCTCCTTCCTTGTATACACTATATTGCCAAACGTATTGCTTTTACACGCACAATAAATTTAATAGCATCCCAGTCTTAATCTGTAGGGTTCAATATTGAGTTGGCCCACCCTTTGGAGCTATGACAGCTTCAACTCTTCTGGGAAGGCTGTTAGGAGTGTGTCTATGGAAATGTTTGACCATTCTTCCAGAAGCACATTTGTGAGGTCAGGCACTGATGTTGAACGAGAGGGCCTGGCTCACAGTCTCCGCACTAATTCATCTCAAAAGTGTTCTGTCAGGTTGTGGTTAGGACTCTGTGCAGACCAGTCAAGTTCCTCCACCCCAAACTCGCTCATCCGTGTCTTTATGGACCTTACTTTGTGCACTTGTGGTCAGTCATGTTGAAATAGGAAGGGGCCATTCCCAAGCTGTTCACACAAAGTTGGGAGCATGAAATTGTCCAAAATATCTTGCTATGCTGATACCTAAAGATTTTCCTTCACTGGAACTAAGGGGCCAAGCCCAACCCCTGAAAAACAGCCCTAAACCATAATCCCCCCTCCAGCAAACTTTACACTTGGCACAATGCAGTCAGGCAAGTACCGTTCTCCTGGCAACTGCCAAACCCAGATATACAGACATACCAATCAGATTGCATCCGGTGCTTTGCATTGTACTTGGTGATATAAGGCTTGGATGCAGCTGCTTGGCCATGGAAACCCATTCCATGGAGCTCTCTATGCACTGTTGTTGTGCCAATCTGAAGACCACATGAAGTTTGGAAGTTTTTAGCTATTGACTCTGCAGACAGTTGGCGACTTCTGCGCACTGTGCACTTCACCATGCACAAACCTTGCTCTGTCATTTTACGTGGCCTACCACTTTGTGACTGAGTTGCTGTTGTGCTTACACTTTGTTAGAATACCAATAACAGTTGACCATGGAAAATTTAGTAGCAAGGAAATTTCACTGATGAATTTATTGCACAGGTGGCAACCTATCACGGTACCACGCTTGAATACACTGACCTCCTGAGTTTGACCCATTCTTTTACAAATGTTTGTAGAAGCAGTCTGCATGCCTAGGTGCTTGATTTTATACACTTGTGCCCATGGAGGTGATTGGAACACTTGAATCCAATGCTTTTGGAGGGGTGTCCCATTACTTTTGACAATATAGTGTACATGTAACCACGGGGTGGGGAATATACAGTTAACATTAGGGTTTAGAGTGAACCCAAGCTTATTCCTATTTAAGATACACACTGCTCTAGCAAATTAAATGTCGCCATCTATTTAAACCTTCTTCCACTTCATCCAGATGGGAATCAGTAATAAGAGGTTGGGTTCTGCTTTAAAATGTCAAACCTGCAGTATATATAATGTTGTATATGTACTAAACAATAACTTTCCAACCATTTAGCATAACTGTCATTTCCTTTGCAAGATAGTTGCTTATCAGTTAGTTTGCACTAGCCATCTGTCTCCTGTTTGGACTGATATGAAGCACAAAGCAGAGCAAATACATTTGCAGATTTCTAAAAATGTGCTAATTAAGGCTCACAGTGCTACAGTAAATTGAAATCCTGTGGATTTGTTACATAGATCTAGATGTAAGGTTAGTTCCTTCAGACCTTACATAAGATGATGAAATCAGAACATTATTGGAATACAATACAACAGTGGGCAGCACAGTGGCTAAATGGTTAGCACTTCCGCCTGGCAGTACTAGGGTCGTTGGTTCGCTTGAGTAGGCTAGGCTTCTCTGAACATTCTTTAGGCCAAGGGTTAAAGAAATGACCAGAACTGAGACCCTGTGAGAGTTGTCTCAGAAAGAGCTACTGATGGCACTTATCCTTCCAAAATAACACAAAGTCACTTGGAGCATGAGCTCAGGTCTAATCGCACAACGTCTCTCCAGGACAACTGAACTTCACCCAGTTTCCTTTAGACATCTATATATATTGAAACATTGTACTATAGATTGTTGAGTATCTACAGGCAAGTTTTGAGTAAAAAATCACCAAACCTCAAAGAATATTGGACTCGTATGCTCTTAAAGCCTCCACTCATTCCATACAGAAAACATAAGATAATTTAGCTGTGAACAAAGAAGCGATGGAGGTTTCCAAGTAAATTCACTGTGCCAGAAGGGATATAACAATCAGAAGTTGTTTACAGCTTCTCGAAATTTTGATTCCTGGGATATTGATTAAACCAAAAAGTGCCGACTCTATGATTAGAGGTTTGTGGTAGCATATCACACTACCGAGTGCCACAATTACATATCTAGATGGACACATTTAGAGCAGCAAGAGAAGAGCTTAGGCATTTAAGATAAGAGTGATGTGGAGACATATATCAAAGGAGGAAAGGCTGAAGCAGACATGTGCGTTTCATTTTGATTTGTTTCACGAGCAAAAATGTAATTTTTGCAGATTCAGATGTATATGAATCTCTGAATGGACATAGTAATGAATGTCAAGGAATAAACAAAATTTGTAACGAAATTAACAAATGCATTTGTTTCATTCATTTCATTTGGAAGGCATCACCTGCTGCAATAGTATTTCACGCCCATGGAGAAATGAAATACATTTTCAAATTTTTTTCGATAATTTTAATTAACAAATGGATCTTAATTTTGTTCCATATATTAATTCAGATGTCCATAATAATATATTGAATATATAGCAATCTTCCAGAAAAACTGCAAACTTTTTCACCCAGACCAACAAATATATGAAACGAATGCCAAATATACGAAACGAATTCTGAAAATGAATCGAGTCAACATAATGAATATAACAAAACGAGATTCTTCAATGAACAAATACATCCAAAACTAAACAAACATTTCCAGCATGCACATGTCTAAGCCAAAGCATCTTTTTGTGATACATTGTGAACCATGTCCCAAGATAGACGTAGTGCTTTTGAAAGAATTTCAGCCGAAGGGTGGGGGAAATTCCTATTCCATTTGTTGAGGCCAATTATTGGAGAAATGTTATCCAGTGTTATCCATCTAAAAATGTTACATAGAGTAGAAATTGCTTTCCTGCTCAGGTTAGGATATAGTAAAAGAGTGTCCAGTGAGTTTCCCCAGTTCCTCCGGAGGATTTTTTAATGGTCAAGGCAATATAAAAGATTTCACCCTTAGGAAAAGAAAAGGGTTTGGGAATATGCATGAAAATTACTCCAAAGCTATATTGGAAGGTAATGGTTGCTTGTTAGCAACATACACAAAAGATTTTAAATATAAAAAGACCTTCCAAATTCCATTGTTTAAGAGTAGGAAGTCAAGAAAGTTGTTCCATAGGTGAAGGGGGGGATATTGTGGTGTGTGACTATTTAGCTCACAGTGCTTGTACATTTTATGCCATGCCAACCAGGTGGAGTATAAGAGAGGATTTATGGACACCTTGGCAGGCAGGAGTACTTTCTGTACAGTATATGAAGAACTTAAAAACAAGTTGTTTTTAAATCACTGCTCTTGGGAAAACAGAACTATAGCTAGCAGTGTCTATTGGAATTTAGCAATACAAAGTCTCTGACTATGATTAGATAATTCAGGGCTTAAAACTTTGAGTCTAGACCTACTAGCCAGGCACAAACCTCCACCAGTTGCCCCACCCAACCTTGCCCAGGTCCACCTCCAACCCCACCCCTGGACCATCCCCCAGCCCTGTCTCCAACCATGCCCCCTTAAAGCTTATGAAATTACATTTTTCTTTAGATTAAAGAGTCCAAAATATAAAACTGTACACAGTAATGTATATCCCAGCTCCCCTGTACTCCATTATAGTGATATGACATGTATACAGTAATGTATATCCCAGCTCCTCTGTACTCCATTATAGTGATATGACATGTATACAGTAATGTATATCCCAGCTCTCCTGTACTCCATTATAGTGATATGACATGTATACAGTAATGTATATCCCAGCTCTCCTGTACTCCATTATAGTGATATGACATGTATACAGTATGTATATCCCAGCTCCCCTGTATTCCATTATAGTGATATGACATGTATATAGTAATGTATATCCCAGCTCTCCTGTATTCCATTATAGTGATATGACATGCATACAGTAATGTATATCCCAGCTCCCCTGTACTCCATTACAGTGATATGACATGTATACAGTATGTATATCCCAGCTCCCCTGTACTCCATTACAGCGATATGACATGTATACAGTATGTATATCCCAGCTCCCCTGTACTCCATTATAGTGATATGACATGTATACAGTAATGTATATCCCAGCTCCCCTGTACTCCATTATAGTGATATGACATGTATACAGTAATGTATATCCCAGCTCCCCTGTACTCCATTACAGTGATATGACATGTATACAGTATGTATATCCCAGCTCCCCTGTACTCCATTACAGCGATATGACATGTATACAGTATGTATATCCCAGCTCCCCTGTACTCCATTATAGTGATATGACATGTATACAGTATGTATATCCCAGCTCCCCTGTACTCCATTATAGTGATATAACATGTATACAGTATGTATATCCCAGCTCCCCTGTACTCCATTATAGTGATATGACATGTATACAGTAATGTATATCCCAGCTCCCCTGTACTCCATTATAGTGATATGACATGTACACAGTAATGTATATATCCAGCTCCCCTGTACTCCTTTATAGTGATATGACATGTATACAGTAATGTATATCCCAGCTCCCCTGTACTCCATTATAGTGATATGACATGTATACAGTAATGTATATCCCAGCTCCCCTGTACTCCATTATAGTGATATGACATGTATACAGTAATGTATATCCCAGCTCCCCTGTACTCCATTATAGTGATATGACATGTATGCAGTAATGTATATTCCAGCTCCCCTGTACCCCATTATAGTGATATGACATGTATACAGTAATGTATATCCCAGCTCCCCTGTAATCCATTATAGTGATATGACATGTATACAGTATGTATATCCCAGCTCCCCTGTACTCCATTATAGTGATATGACATGTATACAGTAATGTATATCCCAGCTCCCCTGTACTCCATTATAGTGATGACATGTATACAGTAATGTATATCCCAGCTCCCCTGTACTCCATTATAGTGATATGACATGTACACAGTAATGTATATCCCAGCGCCCCTGTACTCCATTATAGTGATGACATGTATATAGTAATGTATATCCCAGCTCCCCTGTACTCCATTATAGTGATATGACATGTATACAGTAATGTATATCCCAGCTCCCCTGTACTCCATTATAGTGATATGACATGTATACAGTATGTATATCCCATCTCCCCTGTACTCCATTATAGTGATATGACATGTATACAGTAATGTATATCCCAGCTCTCCTGTACTCCATTATAGTGATATGACATGTATACAGTAATGTATATCCCAGCTCCCCTGTACTCCATTATAGTGATATGACATATATACAGTAATGTATATCCCAGCTCCCCTGTACTCCATTATAGTGATATGACATGTATACAGTAATGTATATCCCAGCTCCCCTGTACTCCATTATAGTGATATGACATGTATACAGTAATGTATATCCCAGCTCCCCTGTACTCCATTATAGTGATAGGACATGTTGTATACAATACTTACTCGAGTCCCCCGTGGTGGGTGGAGAGGGTGTCTCCTCTCAGCGAAGGAGAGCGGACCTCTCCTGCACCTGTCCCCTCAGCGGCTGTGCCGCAGGAGCCGGAAACCGGAAGTTGTAAACCGGAACTCGGCTTCACAATTAGGCTTGGAGCGCAGGTGCAGTCGCTCCATGCTTCATCTGTGCTCGCTGCTTGCCGCAGAGGAATTTCTCCTCGCATTTGGCGAGCGGCTTTTTCAAGCCCTGATGTATATGGCACTAAGCAAAAGAAGCTCCCTTTGCATTCTTACTATGACTATTAATGACACTAAGCAGCTCTGAAAGCAAATTTTCAGATATAGTGTACTTGGAAAATCAAGATCACTATGCTTTTACAAATGCTTTTATATATACAGTATGTGTATCTGATATTACAGTCTGTCCGACAGGCTAGAATGCACGGGAGAAAATAGCAAGATACTGTGAGGAAATCTGCTATAGATCACCAGAAGTAAATATGCTGCAAATGTTTGGTTTGTTGTTTTTAATCTGTTAACTCAGAACAATACCACAAAA